ATACAGAATAGGATATAGCCGCATATAGCAATGCTAAAACTATACAGAATAGGATATAGCCGCATATAGCAATGCTAAAACTATACAGAATAGGATATAGCCGCATATAGTAATGCTAAAACTATACAGAACAGGATATACCCGCATATAGTAATACTAAAACTATACAGAATAGGATATACCCGCATATAGTACTGCTAAAACTATATAGAATAGGATATACCCGCATATAGTACTGCTAAAACTATATAGAATAGGATAGACCCGCATATAGTAATGCTAAAACTATACAGAATAGGATATACCCGCATATATTAATGCTGAAACTATACAGAATAGGATATACCCGCATATAGTTATGCTAAAACTATACAGAATAGAATATAGCCGCATATAGCAATGCTAAAACTATACAGAATAGAATATAGCCGCATATATATTAATGCTGAAACTATACAGAATAGGATATACCCGCATATAGTTATGCTAAAACTATACAGAATAGAATATACCCGCATATAGCAATGCTAAAACTATAAAGAATAGGATATAGTCGCATATAGTAAGCTAAAACTATACAGAATATGACCCTTCCGTACCTGTTTTGCCCACGGCAACATCGATGAGCTTCTGACGATCTTCTGCCTTTCCCACATGGCACGCACACCCCTCAACACTAATACCCATGTCAGACAACTCCTTCACTGTCCTGTCCACATTCTCCTGTTTACGACTAGCCACAACAACGTGCGCACCTTCCTATATGTCCATCGATAATGTGGGCAAGAAAATTGAGCATAAACATTTGGTACCAGGTTTTTATGAGTGAAGATATTTCGAAATGCCTACTCCCCTTATATCGATCCCATATGTATTCAAATGGGTTAAAAAAACCTCAAACGTCAGCAAAGTTCAAAAATGAAGGATCGCAACATAAGGACATATTGATATATCTTACCTCACCCAATCGTTTGGCAATAGCATATCCGATTCCAGCGGTAGAACCTGTCACAAGACTACATGCGAAAGAATCAAATAATATTTCAGCATCGCATGATAAAGAAGATAAGGGAAGCATATGATATCGTTCAATTAAAACAATAATACACCGCAGTACCGTTCGCATTTGAATGCACAATGTGGCAATTCTCATGTGCAGAATCTTGGAGATCTGACAGTCAAAGGAAACGATTTCCTGTTTTAGAGTACCGTCTTTTGTCCAGACTTTTGCAACGCCTCCGTTGAATCCTGTTAGACTGGAGATACTATTCGTGCAGGTTTGCTGATCTCAGAATTGTCGATTCACTAATCTAACTTAGTCGTCTTCCGCACAGGAAAGTGGGATACACAAACACACACACACAGGCACACATATATATATAAGCACACACACACATATATATATAAGCACACACACACATATATATATATATATATGTGTGTGTGTGTATGCACATACACATAAATACTCGCGAGCACACACACATACACACGAGCACACATACATACATACATACTCACAAACACACACACACGGTACACACACAAT